TTTTTTTTTTTTTTTTTTTTTTTTTTTTTTTTTTTTTTTTTTATTTTATTTTTATTTTTTTATAAGCTTATACAATGTTAAAAACAAATATATAAACTAAATTGTCATGCAAAGCTAGCATCAGAGGCTATCAGCTGTCCGGAAAGTATAACAATGGTTTAAATCCTTCTGAGTAGGTCGGTGTCTTTTAGGAATCCATATATTGTAATTAGGTGAAGACCGCTTGATGGGGAGTCACATAATGGACAATTATTATTTCGGCCCCTATCGAGAAGGTGAGCGTGAGTGACTATAGTGTGTGCAATTCGAAGCCGTATGAACGGTGTGAGCATGTTTGTTGGAATGGAAGATGGATAGTGTGGTTTGATCCGGGTTGGATGGATTCTGGCGTAGTGGTAGTTGTAATCGACACAATCAAGGGCTAACTTGCAACGTCTCTCTTCGTTAATAACACGATATATGTCGCTTTTGATGAACAAGCTGGATGTAAAAGTTGGGGTGAATCTTGCATCATTTGCCATTCTGTCCGCAAAAGTATTCCCGTCGATGCCAATCTGGCTAGGTACCCACATTATCTTCATTTTTTTTGGACAGCAGATGAGGCCGTCCCTAATGCTACTGATGATGTTGTTGGAGTTGTTACAATTATATATCGCACGAAAACAGGATAGGCTATCAGTGCAGATGATGTCTTTTCCTGAATTTTTAGTAGCATATTGAACAGCTTGGAAAATAGCAGTTGCTTCGGCTGTAAAGATGAAGCAAAAAGGAAAAAAGTAGACCTTATGTAATTGGTTCGTTATTATCGCTAACAACAGCAAAATACGTCTGTGTAGCCTTTGACCATTAGTGAAGACGAACCGCCAGTTATCCTGTTTAAGACGAGCCATAGTTTCACGGAACTCAGAGATGTAGACTGCGCTAGAAGTACTGGATTTAGGCGGGAGCGTAAGACGATCAAAAAAAAGATGTTTTTGAAACAAACCACGGGGGGTTCCGAATTTTACGCAGTTGAGGAATATTTTAGCGGCAAGTCATTTATTTTGGCAAAGGTGGCACATTTATAGATGGAAGATTGTATTTTTGGAGCACGTTTACGTGTCGTAGCTGTGTAGAACGTGTTTCGCAGCGTCTGATTGGAGCCGATGGAAAGTTTTGGGTAAAGTTTGCAGATGCTTTCCTCCATGTTATCCATAAGGGAAGGTAATCCGGATTCCGCCAATATGTTTTTTATGGGTGATGTAGGAAATGCTCGAAGGGATCTACGAATAGCAGTGTGATACGGGGCAGCAAGCATTTTTAAATTACTTTTTGAGTGATGGCCGTAAATTTCAAGAGCGTAGTTGATGACTGAAAGTATAATAGCTCTTACGACGTTAACCAGCAAAGCAGTGCCAATAAGCGAACGCTTGCATGACAGGTATTTTACAATATTTATTTTAGAAACAAGTATCTCTAAGATACTGACAATGTTGTTTAATGGGTGCTC